GGCAGGGTCACGAGCGCTACTTCCTGTTGGTGGTTGACGACTACTCGCGTTACACCACAGTCCTCCCCTTGCGCAGCAAGGGTGCTGTCACTGAGGTGCTGATCGACTGGATCCGCGAGGCTCGTCTCCAGCTCAGGAGGAGCATCGGCTCGGACTTTCCTGTTCTGCGTCTGCACTCGGACAGAGGCGGGGAGTTCTCCTCTCGCCTTCTGCGAGACTACTGTCGTGCACGGGGGATCCGCCAGACCTTCACGCTTCCGGACTCTCCACAGCAAAATGGGATTGCTGAGCGCCGCATTGGCATGGTCATGGATGTCGCTCGTACGTCCATGATGCATGCGGCTGCCCCCCACTTTCTGTGGCCGTTTGCGGTCAGGTACGCGGCGCATCAGCTCAACCTTCACCCCAGGGTCTCTCGGCCTGCGATGTCCCCAGTCTTGCTGTGGACGGGGAAGGTTGGCGATGCGTCTGCGTTCCGTGTCTGGGGATCTTGGGCGTTTGTCCGCGACTTGTCTGCGGACAAGCTGTCCCCTCGTGCTGCTCCCTGTGTCTTCCTTGGCTTCCCCCCTGACGCTCCAGGGTGGCAGTTCTACCACCCCTCCTCTCGTCGTGTTCTGTCCTCCCAGGACGTCACGTTCGACGAGTCAGTCCCCTTCTACCGCCTCTTCCCCTACCGCACTCCTTCCCTTCCCCCGCCATCGGACTTCCTTGTGCCGGTTCCCCCCCCGGTAGACCCCCTCCCCCCTCAGGTTCCTGCCCCCTCAGGTGTGTCCCAGGTGGACGCAGTTGACCCGGTCGAGGTTACTGGTGACTCTGGTGCTGCTGCGGGTGCTGAGCCTGGGGGTGCTGACTCTGGGGGTGCTGTGCGCGGGGGTGCCGAGCCTGGGGGTGCTACTGCGGAGGGTGCTGTGCCTGGAGCTGCTGAGCTAGGGGGTGCTGAGTCTGGGGGTGCTGAGTCTGGAGCTGCTGAGCCTGGGGGTGCTGGGTCTGGAGCTGCTGAGCCTGGGGGTGCTACGTCTGGAGCTGCTGAGCCTGGGGGTACTGCGTCTGGGGCTGCTGAGCCTGGAGTTTCTCCTGGTACTACGTCTCGGCGGGAGCCCCTCTCTCCACAGGAGCTGCGCGAGTGGTTTGCTCGCCGCTGGAGGCGTACTGCCGGAGCTCGAGCTTCTTCGACCGTCGAGGGTGCTGGTGCCGCCGGTCCCGGAGCCGCTGGGCCTGCGGGTCCTACTGGGGCTGGAGCTGCTGGAGGTGTTGGTGCTGAGACTCCAGCTGTCTGTCCTGGAGGTGGTTCTGCTGCTGGTGCTGCTGGAGGTCCTGCCGCTGAGGGTGCTGGTGCTGTCCGTGCTGAGCCTGGAGCTGCCGAGCGGCCTCGGCCGTACTTCGTTCCGCTCCTGCAGCAGGTTCTTGGTCTTTCTCCTCCGGTAGAGTGTCCACAGCCTGTACAGTCGCAGTCACTGTTGGAGCCTTCCTCCCCACTGCCTGCTCCCTCTCCTTACACTAGCCCTACTGGAGGTCTTGCTGAGCGTCGTGAGCCTGCGTCTCGTCCCGCGTCGCCTGTTCGTGCTGCTCGCGCTAGTGGTCGCGGTTCGCGTCAGCGTCCTCCTCCTGTCCCTGGCACGCACCGGATGTCTCTGCGTCCGTCCACTGCTCCTCTGCGTGCCCCTTTGCCTTCTCCTCCTGAGTCCTCTCTTCCTGCGCTTGCCGACCCTAAGTCGGACTCCCTTCGTGCTGCCAGTCCTACTGTCACGCGTCTCCTTGCTACTGTCGTCACTGACCCCTCTTTTGAGTCCACTGCTGCGTCTGCTCTAGTCGCTGAGCTCGTCGACTTTGCTGCTCGCTGTCGTCTAGACTACGCTGCTAGTCTTGTTGCTGAGTCTGCGTCTGTCTGTCCTCCGTCCGTCGGGGGTGAGTGTGCTCTTGGCACGGACGTCCTAGAGGACAGGCAGGAGGAGTTACAGTGTCTGGCTGCTGCTTCACCTCATCTCGCATCTGTACTGCTTGCTCCTGAGGGAGACCCGGATGCACTAGACATCCCGACTCCGCGCTCCTACGCGGAGGCTGTAGAGGGTCCCTACTCCTCTCAGTGGCAGGCAGCTATGGATGCAGAGATGGCTTCCTGGAAGTCCACAGGCACCTACGTTGACGCGGTTCCCCCTCCTGGGGCGAACATCGTCAGTGGCATGTGGATCTTCAGGGTGAAGCGGCCGCCAGGCTCTCCACCTGTCTTCAAGGCGCGGTACGTCGCTCGTGGCTTCAGTCAGCGGCAGGGAGTTGACTACTTTCAGACCTTCTCTCCCACCCCGAAGATGACCACTCTTCGTGTGCTGCTACACATAGCCGCTCAGCGCGACTACGAGCTTCACACTCTCGACTTCAGCACTGCGTTCCTGCAGGGTAGCCTGCACGAGGAGATCTGGCTGCGCCGTCCACCTGGCTTCACTGGGACTTTCCCTCCTGGCACCCAGTGGAGCCTCCGACGGCCAGTCTACGGTCTCCGCCAGGCACCGCGTGAGTGGCACGACACACTGAGGACTACGCTTGCGGCTCTTGGGTTTGCTCCTTCTACTGCTGACCCGTCGCTGTTTCTGCGCACCGACACTTCACTGCCGCCGTTCTACATCCTCGTGTATGTCGACGACTTGGTCTTTGCCACAGCGGACACTGCTGGATCGCCTACGTGAAGTCCGAGCTGCTGAAGAGACACACGTGCACAGACCTGGGTGAACTGCGCAGCTACCTTGGCTTGCAGATCACTCGGGACAGAGCACGCCGCACCATTACCTTGACTCAGTCACACATGGTGCAGCAGGTCCTTCAGCGCTTCGGCTTCACGTACTCCTCGCCTCAGGCCACTCCTCTGTCTACCCGCCACTCGCTCTCAGCTCTGCCTTCGGATGAGTCCGTAGAGTCGAGTGGCCCATACCCAGAGCTTGTTGGCTGCCTCATGTACCTGATGACCTGCACACGACCTGACCTTGCATACCCTCTGAGCATTCTTGCACGCTATGTTGCTCCTGGGAGACACCGACCAGAGCACATGGCTGCAGCGAAGAGGGTATTGCGCTACCTGTGCAGCACGTCGGGCATGGGGCTAGTGCTTGGAGGGCGGAGTCCAGTGGTCCTTACAGGTCACGCGGACGCTTCTTGGGCTGACGACCAGGCTACGCAGCGGTCGTCACAGGGTTACACCTTAAGCCTTGGTTCTGGCTCTGTCTCGTGGCGGGCTACTCGTTCGTCTTCGGTTCTCAGCTCCAGTTGTGAGGCTGAGATCTACGCAGGGGCCATGGCTGCACAGGAGCTTCGCTGGCTCACCTACCTGCTGACTGACCTTGGAGAGCCGCCTCGTTCTCCTCCAGTGCTGTACGTAGACAACAAGGCCATGCTGGCCTTGTGTCGAGAGCAGCGTCTGGAGCACAGAACGAAGCACATTGCTCTTCGCTACTTCCTTGCTCGTGAGCTACAGCAGCGTGGACAGTTGCGTTTTGCGTACGTGGCCTCTGAGGCCAACACTGCTGATGTGTTCACCAAGGCACTTGCGCCTTGTGACCATCAGCGCTTCTGCACCCAGCTGGGTCTTGTGCCTGTCTTGCCTCACTTGCTCTCATCTTTACTTTACTTGTACTGTGACATATATATACCTGCTCTTGCTTGTCTAGCTTTATATATATATCTGTACTCTTGCATGTGAACTGGCCTTTGGCCTTGCTCTTGTGCTCGGACTGTGTGGTGACTTTGTGATCCACCCTGAGCTTTGCTTTGTCTTACTTGACTGGTCTTGTGACCCCTTGTTCTCCCCCACTTTGCCTATGGGGGTGTGTCAGAACATATATATAGCTTATACTATTGTGTAGGCTGTAGTGGGGTATCCCATAGGGGGTACAACCCAGTTAGGGTTTCCTATTTGTACTCACTTCATTCATAGTTCATTCATTCTCGTTCTATTCTCAACAAAGTGTGGAACGCGAATTCTGGTGTTGATGTCTTCTTTCTATGTCGTTCTTCTTGGGTAGAGTTGGTGTAGTAGCGGAAGCGTCAATAAAGAGTTGTGAACCACCTTGCGCTAGTATGTGAGGGCAAAGTAAAGTTGATTAAAACAAAGAGATACAAGATTATATAAGAGTACAAGGAATATGAAAGGATACGGTTATAACTGTTTTACTTGTTGCTGTTGCGGTTCGATACGGTGACGACTCGGGCAACTGCTCTGTAACGAGTCAGTTGTGTGTCCTTGCTGTCGCGCTGTATTTGTCAGATCAAAGGTCGCTGACCTTTGACTTTCGCGTAACCTCCAGCGGTTACTTCAACCTCCGAGGGTTGACTCGCTGATGCCTCGATATGCTTTGCTTCGCTTGTGCCTTAGTGTTTCGACACGACAGAGGCGCTTAGGACCGATTGATTCCAACACGCAATACTATATCTCTCTTGGAAGAATTACCACACTATTAGCACACAACATTTGAGACTACTTGGAGACCTAAGGTATGATGTATGTGTTTGCAAGTGCACAAACCAGTATGTGTAGATTGCTTGTAGCGAGCGTAGATTCAAGCAACAGCAACAGATGGCGGGCAAGAAGAGGAGTGGAAGCGCGAGTGTGCAACGCACACCGCCATCGAAATGTATTACTCGAGCTATACCATACCAATTCGTGTTTAGGTGGCCAGGTGTTACGGCGTTACTACGTGTTTACGCGCTCGCTCGAACAAGTCATTTCATGAATAGGTGCTGCGGTGGAGTGAAAGCGTTATGGCGAGCGCGCGTCGGTGCACTCACGGTGCCAACGACGTTGCGCGGTGCTCGTCGCTGCTGCGCGCCTCGCCTGCGTGAGCGCACCGCCCTTCCGGCAGCCGCGCGAGCAGCCGCGCGAGCAGCCGCGTGGGCGGCACTGAAGCGGCAGCTGCGCGTTTGACGAGGTGCGCGAGAGGCGCGCATTGACGCGCCAGTGCCATCGGCGGCGCCCGCCACTCGCGGACGGATGCGCGGGAAGCTGCTGCGGAGTGATGCGAGGTGCGTCGCCCCTCGCCGCGCGCACCGCACCCACTCTACCCGCCCATCACCGCCCCGCTCCCCCCAAGCACGCATGCGTGCTTCGCCAGGACTCGGCTTGGCAAAGTGAGTGCGCCAGTGGTGAGTGAGTGCGATGTGGTCAAGCTTGTTCGCAAACCCCCCCTTCCCGCACCAAGCGTGGCATCACGCCGCTGCCTGCTGCCATCGCATGCCTATGCACCAAACCCCACCTCGCACATTCCTCCACCCTCCTTTCCCTCCCTCCTCCCCCTTCCTCTCTACCCTCCTCTCTCCTTCCTTTCCTCCTTCTCTCCCGCTCCCTTCACCCTCCTTTACCCCTCTTTCCATCCTCCTTTCCCCCTCCTGTCCCTCTCCTGTCCCCCTCCTATCCACCTCCCTCCCGTCTCTCTCTTCTCCCTTTGCTTCCCTCTCCTTTCCCTTTCTTTTGCCCTCATTTCGACCGCCCCTTCCTAACCCCCTCCTTTTTCCTTCTTTCGCATCCTATCACTCTCCTTTCCTCTCCACTTCCCCCCTTTTCTCCCTCCGTTCCCCCTTCTTTCCCCCTCCCCTCCGTGCCCCCTCCTTCATCTTCTATTTCCTCCATTTCCCCTCCTTTCCCATTCCTGTCACCCTCCTATCCACCTCCCGTCCCCCTATTTTCATCTCACGTCCCCCTCCACGCCCCCTGCTTTCCTTCTCCTGTTCCCCTCCTGTCCCCCTCCGTCCAACCACCTTCCCCTCTGTTCCCCATCTTCCTCCAAACCCCCTCCTATTCGCCTGCCTGTCCCCTGCTTTCACTTCTCACTACTTCTTTTCCTCCATTCCCTCTCCCCTCCCCCTCCCATTCCCCCGACCACTCCCTCCTCCTTCCCCCCTCAGTTTCTTCCTTCCCCCTTCCCCGCTTCCCCCCTCCTTCCGCCCTCTTTTCCCCTGCTGTGCCCCGTCTGTCGCCCTCCTCCACCCCTGCTGCCCCGTGCCTGCCGCACGCCTTCTCCCGGGTGCGTGCTTGGGGCAGGCAGAGGGGGCTGCAGGTGCCAGGGAGCAGGCGCGCCATGCAGGGGAGGCCATGGGCGGCCATGCACGCTCAACGGGGCTCTCCACTCGCCCTGCCTCCACACGCGCTGCTCATCCGCCCCTCCTCCCCGCCTGCTGCCCTCTCTCCCCCCCCCCCTTTGCTCCTCGCCACACCCCTCCCTGCGCTGCGCCATCCACTCGCCCACCTCACCCTCCACCTCAACGCCTTGCCTGACCCACTTGGGGCTGGGAGTTGCTGCTGTAGCAGGGGGGACAGCAGCAGCACGAGCACTGCATCCCCTCTCACCATGCGCTGCATCGCCCACCATGCCACCACCATCAACACCACATGGGAAACACCAACTCTCAACCTGTCTCAGCCGTATTGATGCTGGCACCTGAGTGCACATGGCACTGCCCTGCACTGCCAATCCAATCATGTGCTGCCCTTATCCACAACTCATTGCACGCAACTAGGCTTTCTTCATTCATTCCATCATTGTAATTGCAAGTGGCCACACACAACAAGGCCCCTATCCTACCCTACATTGGGCTTAAGCCTACAGGTGGCGTCATGCCAGCACCTACAGCATTGCTGCCTACGGCTACGGTACTTTGCACCCATTTGCAGCCATGTCAAGGCAGCACCTATATGGATTATTGGGCTGTCGTGCACCCATTCCATGCACCCATTTGCAGCTATGCAGTATCGGGCTGTCGTCATGTTGCCCACCACTCCCAACTCTCCATCCACGTTATTCCCACCCTGCCTGCACCCATCCTTGAAGCTTGCAGCAGCGCATTCACACCACAGCACCACACCACACCACCTTTCCCTCACCCCCTAACTTCCAACGGCCACCCACCAACCACCCACGCACACTCCCACAAACGCCCTGCTGTGAAGCAGCGCGCAAAAAAGGGCCGTGCCACCGTCGCTCCCCCATCCATGCCACACCCATCCGTCCTCCCCATCGCTCCGCGTTCGCTGCTCTCCGTCTTGCTGTGCTGCGCTGCTTACTTGCCTTTCATTCCGTCCGCCCATCTATGCTGCTTTCCTGCCTGCCGTCCCATCCACCCATCATCTCTCTCTACAAACAGTCCGCAACCCCTTAAGTAATCTTCATTTTTCTTTCTGTGTTTCTTTTTTCAGCTTCGCGCGAAGTTCTGTGCGCTGAAAAGTAGGGACCCCGAACTGCTCGCCTGAGCTGGTTCGGCCTGACTTGTCGGGCCAAACCACTCACGAGTCGCCCTGTAACCCTCGCCACACTTCCGAGCCAGACTTTGCCCCTTGGTTTTCGCCTAGCTCGTTCGCGCTGCCTTGCCTCGCTAATTGAGAGTCCTACTTTATAAACTTGCTGCGTGGTAGTTTCATATGCAGAAGGCTTACCTGAATGGAATTTAAGGTTTGATACATATTAAACAGGTGTAATTATTCTATAATTATAATTAGTGAATCCCTGCCTTGCTTGAAAGTACAGTTCTAGGGTTTAGGTTAATGGAGTATGGAAGGAGAAAAGTACACTATCTCATTTCGATAGTTGTTGCAAGCAAGTACTGTTTACAATTATTATTAGATATCAGCGCAAAAGTGATAAAATTATCGGCTAACTGTGAGAATAAGAACGAGGAATGAATGCATTGAGTAGCATGAGGAGTATAAGTAGTAAACCCTAACACTACTGTACCCCATAAGGAGTGCCCCGCTACAGCCTACAATATGTTGGAAACAATCGATCCTAAGCGTCTCTGTCGTGTCGAAACACCAAGTCAGAAGCGAAGCGAAGTATATCGAAGCATCGGCGAGTCAACCCTCGGAGGATGAGCGGTTGCTAGAGGTTACGCGAAAGTCAAAGGTCAGCGACCTTTGACCTGACAAGTACAGCACGACAGCAAGGACACACAACTGACTCGCTACAGAGCAGTTGCCCGAATCGTCACTGTATCGAACCGCAACAGCAACAGTAAAGTAGTTATAACTGTATCTCTTCGTATTCCTTGTACTCTTATATAATCTTTTATCTCTTTGCTTTAATCAACTTACTTTGCCCTCACATACTAGCGCAAGGTGGTTCACAACTCTTTATTAACGCTTCCGCTACTACACCAACTCTACCCAGAGTTCACCCTGAGAAGAAACGAGAATGATTGAACTATGAATGAATTGGGTACAAGTACTAACCCTAATTGGGTTGTACCCCTTATGGGCTACCCCACTATAGCCTACACAATATGCATGAGCTATAATGTTCTGACACACCCCCATAGGCAAAGCGGGGGAGAACAAGGGGTCACAAGACCAGTCAAGCAAAGCAAAGCAAAGCAAGCTCAGGGTGGATCACAAAGTCACCACACATTCCGAGCACAAGTTCAAGGCCACAAGGCCAGTTCACATGCTGGAGTACATATATATAAAGAAGGCTAGACAAACAAGAGGAGGTATATATATATGTAACAGTACAAGCAAGGTCAAGAGGTGAGCAAGTGAGGCAAGGTAGACACAAGGCCCAGCTGAGTACAGAAGCGCTGATGGTCACAAGGCGCAAGCGCCTTGGTGAAGATATCAGCAGTGTTGGCCTCAGAGGCCACGTATGCAAGACGCAGCTGACCACGCTGCTGCAGCTCACGAGCAAGAAAGTAGCGGAGAGCAATGTGCTTCGTTCTATGCTCCAATCGCTGCTCCCGACACAAGGCCAGCATGGCCTTGTTGTCTACGTACACCACTGGAGGAGAACGAGGCGGCTCTCCGAGGTCAGTTAGCAGGTAGGTGAGCCAGCAAAGCTCCTGTGCAGCCATGGCTCCTGCGTAGATCTCAGCCTCACAACTGGAGCCGAGAACAGAAGACGAGCGAGTAGCCCGCCACGAAACAGAGCCGGAACCAAGGCTGAAGGTGTAACCCTGTGACGACCGCTGCGTAGCCTGGTCGTCAGCTCAAGAAGCGTCTGTGTGCCCAGTAAGGACCACTGGATTCTGCCCTCCAAGCACAAGCCCCATGCCCAACGTACTGCACAAGTAGCGCAACACCCTCTTCGCTGCACCCATGTGCTCCGGTCTGTGTCTCCCAGGAGCAACATAGCGTGCGAGAATGCTAAGAGGGTATGCAAGGTCAGGTCGAGTGCAGGTCATCAGGTACATGAGGCAGCCAACAAGCTCCGGGTACGGGCCACTCGACTCTACGGACTCACCCGAAGGCAGAGCTGAGAGCGAGTGGCGAGTAGGCAGAGGAGTGGCCTGAGGCGAAGAGTACGTGAAGCCGAAGCGCTGAAGGACCTGCTGCACCATGTGTGACTGAGTCAGGGTAATGGTGCACCGTGCTCTGTCCCGAGTGATCTGCAAGCCAAGGTAGCTGCGCAGTTCACCCAGGTCTGTGCACGTGTGTCTCTTCTGCAGCTCGGACTTCACGTGGGCGAGTCCAGCAGTGTCAGCTGTGGCAAAGACCAAGTCGTCGACGTACACGAGGATGTAGAACGGCGGCAAAGAAGTGTCGGTGCGCAGAAACAGCGACGGGTCGGCAGTAGAGGGAGCAAACCCAAGAGCCGCAAGTGTAGTCCTCAGTGTGTCGTGCCACTCACGCGGTGCCTTGCGGAGACCGTAGACTGGCCGCCGGAGGCTCCACTGGGTGCCAGGAGGAAAAGACCCAGTGAAACCAGGTGGGCAACGCAGCCAGATCTCCTCGTGCAGGCTGCCCTACAAGAAAGCAGTGCTGAAGTCAAGAGAGTGAAGCTCGTAGTCACGGTGAGCAGCTATGTGCAGCAGTACCCGAAAGAGTGGTCATCTTTGGGGTGGGAGAGAAGGTCTGAAAGTAGTCAACTCCCTGCCGCTGACTGAAGCCACGAGCCATGTAACGCGCCTTGAAGACAGGCGGAGAACCCGGCGGTCGCTTCACCCTGAAAATCCACATGCCACTGACGATGTTCGCCCCAGGAGGGGGAACAGCGTCAACGTAGGTGCCTGTGGACTTCCAGGAAGCCATCTCTGCGTCCATAGCTGCCTGCCACTGAGAGGAGTAGGGACCCTTCATCGCCTCCGCGTAAGAGCGCGGAGTCGGGATGTCAAGTGCATCCGGGTCTCCCTCAGGGGTGAGCAGTACGGACACGAGATGAGGTGAAGCAGCGGCCAAGCACTGGAACTCCTCCTGCCTGTCCTCAAGGACGTCCGTGCCAAGGGCACACTCACCCCCGACGGACGGAGGACAGACATACTCAGACTCAGCAACAAGACTCGCGGCGTAGTCTAGGCGACAGCGAGCAGCAAAGTCGACGAGATGAGTAACTAGGGCAGACGCAGCTGTGGACTCAAAGGAAGGGTCAGTGACAACAGTAGCAAGGAGACGCGTGACAGTAGGACTGGCAGCACGAAGAGAGTCCGACTCCGGGCCGGCAAGAGCAAGAAGAGAAGACTCAGGAGGAGAAGGCAAAGGGGCACGCAGAGGAGTAGTGGACGGACGTAGAGACATCCGGTGCGTGCCAGGGACAGGAGGAGGACGCTGAAGCGAACCGCGACCACTAGTGCGAGCAGCACGGACAGGCGACGCAGGGCGAGACGCAGGCTCACGACGCTCAGCAAGACCTCCAGTAGGACTAGTGTAGGGAGACGGAGCAGGCAGTGGGGAGGCTGGCTGTAACTGTAACTGCGACGGGACAGGCTGTGGAAACTCTAAGGGAGGAGGAGGACCAGTAGAAGACGGGAGACCAAGAACCTGCTGAAGGAGCGGAACGAAGTACGGCCGAGGGCGCGCGGCGACTCCACACACAGCAGGGACAGCACCAGCACCCCAAGTGGCAGCACCAGCACCAGTAGTAGCTCCAGCTCCAGTACCCCCAGCAGCACCAGTAGTACCCCCAGCAGGACCGCCTCCAGGACCGATAGCAGTAGCCTCCGCGCCAACACCCGCAGCAGCTCCAGCTCCAGAAGTACCCGCAGATCCGCAGCTCCTGTACTCCCAGTACGAGCACCTCCGGGACCCGTGGCACCAGCTCCCTCAGCAGCAACAGAAACACTAGTACCCGCAGCACCTCTAGCTACAGCAACTCGCCTCCAGCGCCGGGCAAACCACTCACGCAGCTCCTGTGGAGAGAGTGGCTCCTGGCGAGAAGAAGCACCCGGAGAACCGCCAGGCACAGCACCAGCAGGCCCAGCTCCCTCAGGCTCCGCACCCCTACGCTCAGCACCTCCACGCGTAGCACCCCCAGGCTCAGCACCCCCAGGCTCAGCACCACCAGGCGTAGCACCCCC